TTAGGTATTGAAAGAAACGAAGGAGACATGAAGCAATAAAGTTTATTTTTGAAGAGAAAAAAAACAAGTGAAGAGAGAAAAAGGCTGGCTTCAAAACTACCGGAAAATAATTGGTGAGTTGTCAATTTGACGATTGGTTTGATATTATATTATTGCAGTATCCATCCAGTTAATGTGACTTGTAGTGTTTTTGTTGGCAGAATCTTTAGATAATGGTCACTGATAATTCTAGGAATGGTATGGTGCTATTTTGCAGCAGATGTTTGGAGACCATTGAAAATAAAAGCTATTTTCTGGATTATTTTTCTTACAGTCTCATGTAAATTAAAATAGCTATTGTTCTGGTAGTCAATATTCAATGCTAGGAATTCTGGAACAAATGATATCAAATAAATATGTAACAGCTCCTAAGCTAGGTATATTCCCAGAGTTCTGGATATCTGAAACATTAAGACCAGACCTACTATGCTCTGGCTCTGAATATTCAAGATCTTTAATGTGACTAACCAGATACTATGGAACCTGGATCCAACTGTATTATAATACTCCAGTACTTTTCTCTGAGCTAATCTCAGGTCAGAAATTGTCTATTAATCTTATTGTTGGCAGTGAGTTGGATTTTCACAATATCTTATAATTGAGGCTATTTGTACACTTTGCTCCTAGTGACTCTGAGAACAAAGTTAATTGCAAAGTTTATAAAGTTGTGTTTGTGCCAATGAACTAACTGCTATTATGTAAATAATACACATATGTTAGATGAAATTTTTAGATGCTTATCATATAGGCACTTTGAATTATTCTCAGTTTAACTTAACCTAATTCAAAGATATTTTGTGTGTGTTCTATGTTGGAAATAATGTGATCCACTTTATATCCTTTCCTATCCTATCCTTGAAGAAGCAACAAGCTTCAAACTTAAGGGCTATCGCAGGTTTTTTTAAATCGTGTTTTTATTTCTAGTTTTTCAATTTAGTCAATGATAAAATAGTTTCGAATAGGTAATATCTGAAAACAAATATGGCAGGCATGTTGAGTTTCTCTTGGCCGCCCTTATAATAATTGTAGGTCTTATTAGAACATATGATAGATACATACTAATACTAAACCGAAGTGCCTTTGAATCCTTTGTTTGAATCAATATAACGGTAGCATAATTTATCAAAATTAAAAATGAAATGTTAGGTTATTTTAAAAGTAAAATTGGAATGACGGTCTTTTGAAATAATGCGCTGCATTTTTGTAAAGAAGCAGGTAAGTGTATAATAAACAATGAAAATGTCTCGTGTCCGATACCTCCTTCTCGCGTCACTTTACTCTTTACCGAGGGACGTGAATCCCGCCATGCATTATTCTCTCATGATCGATTTCCCTCCATCTGCTGCGATCCTTGTGGAGCCGTGAAGCAGTAATACGTTTCGGTTTGAAGGGCGGGGCAGCCGTTGTAATTATACTTGAGACCTTAGAACTTATATCTCAAGGTGGGTGGCGCATTTACGTGGTAGATGTCTATGGGCTCCAGTGCCCACTTAACACCAAGTGTGCTATGAGCTTGTCCACCCACCTAAGCAACACAAAAAAAAACTGAAGGGCATCGTGGAATTTGAAGATCAGAGAAGATTGAATTTGGTCCGATTATCTCGTGGGGCTGTGTCCTCTGACACCTCGGTTCGATACGCCTATGCCTATTCGTACAAACATATGCCAAGAAGAAGTTGCGTGTCTCTTTTGCCAAGCAGTCCCAAGACAAGGAATAACTGCTCAGATCCGTTTTTTAAAGGATGCAGAAGGTCTAATAAATGATCCCGGTATCGACGAATATAAATTAAGTGTAAATGCAACGAAAACTAATTTAATTTTTCAAATAAGGTTATCTCCGAAACTTTTTTTAACACCTTTGCATTGGAGGCGATTACTAGAAAAACTTGATCGTGTTATAACTAAGTTGGTATCAAGTATTTAAAATTTAACATTTTGTTAAAGCTATTGCATAGCTTTTATCGCTGTCTTTGAGCGCAACGGCCGAATCAAGAAATTCCGTAACGAAAATAAAACCTAACTTCCCTCACTCTGCCTACCATTTTGCTCGCGTTCAACACATTCACACGTTGCGTTTGTGAATAAGCGCACGGCGTGACGTCACACTGCATGCGCATCATGAAAAATCTGCCTATCGTTTTTTTTTTATTTATTGCTTATATGGATGGACGAGCTCACAGCCCACCTGGTTTTAAGTGGTTACTGGAGCCCATAGACATCTACAACATAAATGCGCCACCCACCTTGAGATATAAGTTCTAAGGTCTCAGTATAGTTACAACGGCTACCCTACTCTTCAAACCGAAACGCATTACTGCTTCATGGCAAAAATAGGCAGGGCGGTGGTACCTACCCGTGCGGACTCACAAGAGGTCTACCACCAGTGATTACGCAAATTATAATTTTGCGGGTTTGACTTTTATTACACGATGTTATTATTCCTTCACCGTGGAAGTCAATCGTGAACATTTGTTAAGTACGTATTTCATTAGAAAAATTGGTACCCGCCTGCGGGATTCGAACACCGGTGCATCGCAACAACGAATACACCGGACGTCTTATCCTTTAGGCCACGACGACTTCAAATCTCTCAAATCAATCTCTCTCTCGCGCGGTCTAACTTATGAGTCTGAAGGGGACAGTTAACGTTTTGCTTTTGTTAATGTTTATAAATAATATAGCGTGGTCTTATTTTATTATTGTTTTAATATTAAATTATTATTGTCTAATTATAATTGCATAAGTTGATAAAAAATGCTATGCAATAGCTTTACCACGGCAATCCCCGAGTGCCACACGTGTCTTTTTGTTTAGTCTAAACATCCAAATCGTTTAAGACCAAAACTAATCTAAATTACTAATTCAATCCTTTTTTTTTAAATCTGTTCCCAGGCGAACCGTTTTTAAGTTACCAGATCAACCGCCATGATGCTCAAAGTCTTCCGGGAATACAGGCGCTGGGGCTCACACGTTCCTTAATAATATTTTTAATAAATAAAAATTAAATAAAAATTAAATTAATTAATAAATAAAAATTGTACAAGTACATGAAAGCTTGTACCAGTCGATGCTATTTAGTTTTCCAATAAACATTTATTGTCTCGTCGAATAAAATCGCTTTGTTACTAATGTAGCCGGTAGGCAGCGGCTTGGCTCTGCCCCTGGCATTGCTGAAGTCCATGAGCGACGATACACTACCATCAGCTGGGCCGTATGCTCGTCTGCCTACAAGGGCAATTCGGCCGTATCAAAGATGCGTATTTGCATTATTTTTATTATTGAAAATTTTAATTACGCTGCAAATATTCTCACATTTTTTTAAAAGCACCGCGACCAACAGGCCGCGTGTTAGGTTAGGCCGAGCCCATAGAAATAAATGCAGTTAGGAACCGTAAAATAATACCACAGCCCCGCCTATTTCTGCCGTGAAGCGGTAATGCGTTTCGGTTCGAAGGGCGGGATAGCCGTATCTCAAGGTGGGCGGCGCAACGTTGTAGATGTCTATGGGCTACAGTAACCACTTAACACCAGGTGGGCTGTGAGCTCGTCCACCAATCTAAGCAATAAATAAAAAAACATTTGCGTTCATTAGGCGCCTTAGTGCCTTAGCACTTGATCAATTAATTAACAGGGTTTCTCGTCAGGCGGCGTGTATGGCTGTCGCTATTCCTGGACAGACTTCAGGCGTTAGTCATCGAGCGAGTAAGTGAGCTCAGGGGGTTCTGACCTGAGAGCGTGGCTAACACGAACCCTAGCAAAAGCCGTGCTTCGCAGAATCTACCACCGGATCGGAAACGCGACCCACTGAGAAGATCCGGCGAGAAACTCAGTGGGCTGTCTGAGAGTTAATTTACTCGTCGAGCCCTTCGCCGCAAGCGACGGATTCGAAGAGGACGGTGACCGGTGCTTGAGGTACCTAAAAGCACCTTTAGTGGATCGGGATGATCCGAAATGACGTGTTTAGAGCGTGTACGGTGTCCAATACTAGAAATATATTCGATATTTATGACATTGGATCAACTGTACAATAATAACTTTTGAAAATAAAACAATTGAAAAAGCTATAAAATATGTTTTTTTTATTTAAAGTATAAAACTAGAACAATAGTTATATGTACCTAACTTATTAACTTAACATGTAATGAAAAAAAGTTTCAGTTTAAATATGCATTTGCATTGAAAAACAAATGTCTATTTGCTCAATAAAACTGACTCTACATATTGACATTAGTATTATTTGGATTGCTTGTGTATTACGTAAAGTAGCACAAATTAGTTAGATTTAACAAATATGTATCTAACTAGTAAAACAATAACGAAACAAAAAGGTTTTTTTTATATAAATTCTCACTAGATTCACCTCCCTGTCAAATTACTCATTTAATTGGCGCCAAAACACACTAGATACTCGTCCATTTCGTTCATAGTATAAGGGGTAAAGATAAGGAGAACCGTCTCTGTCTGTGAAAAGCGTCCGTTAAAATCTGCTAAATAAAGATGGCGCTACAGTAGCAACCGGGTAAATTTATAAAAAATGCGCTGATAGTTATTAGAATAAGATAGAGACATAAAAAAGACAAAAGAGCTGTAAGTACTACAAAATTACAAAAAGTATTTGATTTAAAACTGATAAGAAAATGCAATCGATGTCTCCACGTTTTACCACAGCAATAATTTTAGGTTATATTGACGAAATTAGTTTGGACTACGTAAACATGTGAGGTCTTGTATATTACACTGTCACCAACTACTCTAGTCATTAAATGTATTAAATTTCCTAACTCAGCATACTTCAATCAGTTAACAACTGCTCAATTCATATCATACCCTGTGCCTATGGTAGCGCCATTCTGGAGGATTTTTTAACTGTTATTTAGTGCTGAAATTGGGACACTTTTCCAAGCATCTTCCATATGAGACGGTTCTCCTTACTTCTAGCCTCCATAGTTTATAGTCTATGCTTTTTGTTTTTAACTATCACCACTGGCGCTGGCACCCGCTGCTTCTGTAACGATCACTTTGTCCGCTTCCTCAGCACACTTACCGCCGTTGGAACTTAACTCGAGACTCGTATTACTCTGGGCTTCGTTTATCTTGGCTTTCATAACCACATTCAGGATTTCCATTTGCAATTTCATCGACAATTCCGGGGAGGTTTGCAATAAAAGACTTTTAATGTACAATAAAAACGAATCTAGCTGATCCGGGGTTGCACTGTTGCAGTTAATANTGTCCGCTTCCTCAGCACACTTACCGCCGTTGGAACTTAACTCGAGACTCGTATTACTCTGGGCTTCGTTTATCTTGGCTTTCATAACCACATTCAGGATTTCCATTTGCAATTTCATCGACAATTCCGGGGAGGTTTGCAATAAAAGACTTTTAATGTACAATAAAAACGAATCTAGCTGATCCGGGGTTGCACTGTTGCAGTTAATAAAAGACCTTTCATCCGACAAGTCAATGTTATTGCGTTTATATTTCTTTATGGGCGTGTTCTCCGCGGACATTAGTGATTTCGGAGTTTTCGCGGACAAATAACCGTGCTTCGGGGATTTGTTTCGTTTTTCCTCCACGTAAATGACTTCCGTGAACTGATTACTGTCGTCATTCTGCAACGCGTCCTGCTCTTGATCCAAGCCCTCTATTTCGAACTGAAACAAATCGAAAAGTCTTCAATTATTATTATTTATTTTTTTATTGCCTAGATGTGTGGACGAGCTCACAGCCCACCTGGTGTTAAGTGGTTACTGGAACCCATAGACATCCACAACGTAAATGCACCACACACCTTGAGATATGAGTTCTAAGGTCTCAGTATAGTTACAACGGCTGCCCCACCCTTCAAACCGAAACGCATTACTGCTTCACGGCAGAAGCAGGCGGGGCGGTGGCACCCACCCGTGCGGACTCCTATCCGGCGTTATTCCTTCACCGTGGAAGTCAATCGTGAACAATTATTAAGTACGTATTTCATTAGAAAAATTGGTACCCGCCTGCGGGATTCCAACACCGGTGCATCGCTATATACGATTGCACCGGACATCTTATCCTTTAGGTCGGAAAATTATTTCTTGTAGCATTCAGACCTCTGTCAAATATCTTGTATCCTATGCCCATGCCATGGGTAGAATTCGAAGGATCAGCTCGATGTATTAAAAAGTGTCCGCTGAAGGTTTTCAGTTAAGATGGCGCCACAGTAGCAAGTGGAAAGATTTTAAAAACAGCGCCGTTAACTCTAATAAGAGCAGGGTAAGGCAGGAAAATGTCAAAATATGCCATTATCTCTACAAAACAAAGGCGTCACGGTTCCAAGCTTTGAGTTTCTCCCCCTAAACTTAAGGAGGAAGCAAGTACGGTGGGATTTTTATGGGTGTTATATTTTAAGAGGTATTTTTTGACTGTTTACATTTTTTCCTATTTTTTATTTCTTAATATATGTTTGATTAAGAAAAATAAAGTTATCAAAATATAGACCCCAAAGTAACACAATCTAGCCAATCATATTTATTTCTTGACGTAGTGGCTAGCGACATCTAGTAAACCGAGTGCTTGTTATGATTGATTGTTTACTCTTCGTCTTGATTTCATTACTTTTTTTACAAAGCAATGTTGTCGAAGGCAGCGCAGTGTTCCGTAAACGTGACGTCATTTGGCGCTTACGTCTATTTAGAATAAAACGAAATTCATGAATGAAAAGTATCGGATTTCCAAAAAATTAATTATATGGGTCTGTTTATTTTGAGTCTACTATCAATTAAGATATAAATATGTTAAAAAAATGAAATGTTGTCAATTATCACTCTGCATAATAGGCTCGAGGCCATTCTACTGCACTCATTTAGGGGACCTCCCACTGCGGTTTTAATTTGGTCGGTCCACCGCATTGGTGGCCTCCCGCGCGGTCTTGTACCATCAACGCTTCCCTGTACAACGAGGCGTTCTATCGAGATGGCGCGACATCGTGAGACGCATCAAGTCTGCCCCTTCCAACACTACATGACGCTCACGACCACTCTGTCAAGAGTGACATGACAGAAGAAGAAATAATAGGCTCACTGAATTTGGCCCCCCTTTTTTGATTCTCGGATTTTTATCTTTAATTGTTTGTTCATTAATGTTCGAATGTAAAAATTGTTTGTTCGTATTTTATTTATTTATAATTAATTAAACAAATGATCAACCTTAAGTTGCCCCCATTACTAGATATCTTTATTTTTATCGCTCAGATTAATTAATTTTGATCAATTATCGTTTGTTCGACGACTATTGGTGATTGTTCGATCATAAAAACAATTAAATTCCCAATTATAAATTATTTTATATCTAATAAGCAAAACATCACCTCACGCCATCTTTTTTTGATTTTCGGTTTTTAATTGTTTGTTCGTCTTTTATTTATTTATAATTAATTAAACAAAATGATATTTACAGTGATACCACACTGTCTTCTGGCTTCACTCAAAATTCCTCTTCTATCTTCTCTAACGTTCGTTCTAACGCTACCAATAGACCATTTACCCTCCAGCTCAGGATCGTTTGCAATTTTTTTCCAGACTTCTGACTTCCATTGCGGAAATTCATCATCGGCAAAATAAGCTATGTATTTTTTTAATACTTTCACAGCTAAATCGACCGGCACAGCTGCTACAGGTGGCATAATAAGTTACTCGGAAGCTGCCTGTAAGAGAAAAAAAAAAACACCTAACTTAGTTGGTAAATTTTCTTACAACAATGGAAGCAACAATATATGTATAATTATTACTGCAAAAAAAAAAGTATCGATGAAGTGGAGTTATCATGTGCCGGTATAGTAAAATTTGATTGTATTGTGGAAATATTTGATTATAAATATCATTATGAATTAAAAGTGTGATGAGTTACAGTTTTAAAAAAAAGATGTGTGGTGTCGTGGGACACCGGATAGGAACGAAGTTCCATATTAAAAAAAAAAAAAAACTTCAGTGGTGTCAAGGGGACACCCGGATAGAACGAAGTTCCTTTCGATTAATTAGTGAAGGAATTGTAATTTTTTTTAAGTTATAATAATAAATTACGGCATTATGAAGAAGAAAAAAACAATACTATGAACTAAATTACTATTGTTGAAACGCTATCTCGAGAAACTGTACTCATTACGCGGACCAATCGGATACGAGCAATGTCACGCGATAAGCGCCTACACGTTGATTGGTCAGAATAGCGGATCTAAAAAGTGTCGTGACAACTTTTCGTAAGAATTTTTTCCGTCTAGCCCCCTTTCACAACGCGCAATAAGGAACTTCGTTCCAAAAAAAAAAGAATTACGAGAAAAAAATCGCGCGGTGAAATATCGCTGTGCGGAAAACAAGGCCTTATTCCACGGACTTTTTCTTACGGTTTTTACTATCACATTATTTTCAGTTCGATCGCGCAGCAGAATCCCTATCTCCTCCAAGCCTGCCGTAAGGAACTTCGTTCCAATATTTATTTTTTCCGAAAATTCACCTTTCATTGATCATCAGCTATTATTATGCATATATTTATTATACTCGTAGTGCTGACAGCTTTAACAAATGACGACTACGTCCGTTTATTTTTAGATTAGATATGATATGATATATATACACGAGGGCGGCACTGAAAATTTCGGGAATTAACGAAGTGACNATAAATCATCGCTCTTGAATTTTCTCGAGTCAATTCCATTTTCTCAACGACTAAACAAGTTTGACAAAACCTCGTGACAAGACCGAGAATCTTTTTTTAAATAAATAAATGGTATTCGATTTTTAAAACCAAGGAGTTTTCAATTAAAAAGATTTTAATATGACAGGAACAGTGGAAATATTCCATTCCCGATACTTTTAGTGCAGCCTAGTATTCAATAAATTCAAATAGTGGCGGATGAAAGGCGATTGCATGCAGCGGAGATGCGAATGTTGCGATGGATGTGTGGAGTAACGAGAATGGATAGAATACGGAATGAATATGTTAGAGGAAGTCTGAAAGTGGCACCTGTGACAGAGAAGCTGAGAAGTGCGCGTTCGGGATGGTATGGACATGTGATGAGACGAGATGAAAATGAGGTAAGAAAATGTTAACTATGAATGTGGAAGGATATAGAGGAAGAGGTAGACCTAAGAAGAAATGGATGGATTGCGTGAAAGACGATATTGGTAAGAGGGGAGTGAGCGAAGAAATGGTATATGATAGAGGAGTATGGAAGGAGAAAACATGTTGCGCCGACCCCAGGTGAGTGGGAGAAGGGCGGGAGAATGATGAATGATGATGATAAATTCAAATATTTTGAAGATTATACTTACAAAAAAAAATTAACTTAAAATTTTAAAAATTAAAGAAAGTTTATCTAGTAAAGGGGGCCAACTTAAGGGTGACCATTTGTTTAATTAATTATAAATAAATAAAAGACGAACAAACAATAAAAAATAAATAAAAAAACCGAAAATCAAAATAAGGGGCCCAGATTCAGTGAGCCTGCATAATATCAAACACGCTCTATATAAACACAGACTCAACAGTGGTGTGATGCAGGGTGATAATTCACCTGATCCATTAACGGTGCTTTTAAGCACCACAAGCACCGGTCACCGTCCTCGTCGAACCCGTCGCTTGCGACGAAGGGCTCGACGAGCGAACTAACCCATAGACACAGCCTACTGAGTTAATCGCCGGATCTTCTCAGTGGGTCGCGTTTCCGATCCGGTGGTACATTTTGCGAAGCACTGCTCTTGCTAGGGTCAGTGTTAACAACTCTCCGGTTTGAGCCCCGTTAGCTCACCTACAAACGTTAGGGTGAAGCTGAAATAGCCTCTCAAGGCTATCAGCATAGGTAGGGTATAAAGCAAAAAAAAAGGTGATAATTATGAACAAGACACGACAGTTTGCAACCTGTCTATAGTGCGACTAGCGGCCCGCCCCGGCTTCGCTTGGGAAGTAGCGAACGTAAAGAATTTTAGGTAATTTTTTTACACATTGGGTTACATTATTGGAGTTTCAGTAAGGATCCCTAACTTTTTTTCAAATATAATAAATATAGTCTATATCACCCGGAGATAGCGTAGCTTTCCAACAGTGAAATATATTTTTAAATCGGTTCAGTAGTTTCGGAGCCTATTCAATACAAACAAACAAATCTGTCCTCTTTATAATATTAGTATAGATAGTATAGACGATTCGACACAGACTCAACTAAGCTAAGCCCGCTACACCGCGTATTTTTAAATAGATTTTACAGAATCTAATTATGGTATGTTTTCATTGAGTAATTTTCAGCTAACTGCTAGTGTCTATCGTGTAATAAAAATCAAACCTGCAAAATTAAAATTTGCGTTATTACTGGTGGTAGGACGTCTTATGAGTCCGCGCGGGTCGGTCCCACCACCCCGCCTATTTCTGCCGTGAAGCAGTAATGCGTTCCGGTTTGAAGGGGGGTGCAGCCGTTGTAACTATACTTGTAACCGTAGAACTTATATCTCAAGGTGGGTGGCACATTTACGTTGTACATGTCTATGGGCTCCAGTAACCACTTAAAACCAGGTGGGTTGTGAGCTCGTCCACCAATCTAAACAATAAAAAAATCTGTCTTAATTGGTGAAGTAAGTTTTAAAAATACTATTGCTTCAAAAATTATGCGTAGGTATATTTCAATACG